CGGAGCATTTTTTGAATCTGTTCCAGACTTCGTCAAATGATTCAGTTTCTCCTTGACTGAATACTGATATGTCATGTCTCAGTTTCGCTACCTTGGCTGGGGAGAAAAACTTTGTGCAGAATTTGTGTGCCAACTCGTTCTATGTAGTGATACTTGCAACCGGGAGTGAATCCAACCATTCAAGTGCTCTATCTCATAACGTATGTGGAAAAAGCCTTAACCTAATAGCATCATCCGCAATCCCTTGGTATCTGAAATATTGACACATATCCAAAAATCAAGATATGTGTGTGTGTGGATTCTCCTCGACTTTGCCATAAAATTGGTGTCCATTTTGAAATAGCTGTATCACATTGGTCTTCAATTGAGAATTGGGCTGCCCAAACGGTGGATACACAATGCTGGATTGACTTTAAATAACTTGAGGAGTCAAGAAATTCCCTAGAATCTCATTTCCTTCGTCCATTGCCTCTCCTTCGTTAGCTTGAATAATAGGATTGTTTAATTCGTTGGCCATTTGTACTTGTGCTTTGCGGTGATCTCTTTGTCGTCGATGAAATGTGCGCTCGATTTCAGGATCAGCTGGAGTCAATTCTCCTCCAGGCAATCGTGACATGCAAATCTAAGAATTAAAACCAGTACGAGCTCTGAGATTCAAACAATTTAAATTACTAAAACACAAATGAAGGGTAATAACCTAAAGTAAAAATAAAAACAAAACTATACTAGCAAAACAAAATTTGAAGTTCGAATTAGTGCCTCGAGAAATAAAATCAGACTAAACTCAATCCTCGGCAACGGCGCCAAAAACTTGTTCAAGAAATTATTTCTTTCGATTTTAAACTACCGCAAATGTACGGTTCGTTAACAAATAATAAAGTGGATTCAATGAGTCCGAATATCGTCCCACAGAGATTGATTAGTTCAAATTTTATCTAACGTAGCCTTAACCGAAACTGGATTGCCAAAGTGGATGTGAACCTAAGTAAAACCCTAATTTAAAAAAAAAAAAAAACCTAATTGCGCAAATTTAATGATTGAATTGAAATTAAAACTCAAAACAATATTTTAACACTCTAGAATAAAACTAAATGTTGAGAACGCACGTTGTTATAATCAATAGAAATTAAACAGAGTAGGATCACGATTTTCCATACAATTATCACTTTAAATCCTAGTTTCACAATATGACAACACACTTCAATTGTGACGAATCAATGTTCCTAAATCTATCCAATACTCTCTCTTGAGATGTATCAAACCTATTTCTATATACCACCGGCCTATATTTCTATGACAAGTGCATATGTAAAAATGCATGTGATTTTATGAACACTTAAAGATTCACGTAGGGCATAGCGATATATTTCTATCCCCTATCGGACCCTACGATGATTTATATTATGTCAAATCTATTCCAATTCTCTCGAATGCAAGAATAAATCACCCAAATTCACACAATTACAAGCCCTTAATTGCGGAAATATTAATTGCATATAAATCATTTAAAACAATAAAAATGTGTCTTAATGTCAAATTGTAAAACTAGGATATTAAAATTCAAATTACATGGTTCGTCGATCTCCTAGTACATGAAAATTTAGCCTAGCATGGTTAAAATAATAAAATACATCAGGTTTTGAGTAATAAGTATCACCGGATTATAAAAGCTTGAAGAAATCTTGAGATTCTAATAACCAATCTTCATTCTTGCGCTCCAAATCCTCTTCAAGAAGTGTTTTTTTGCCTCCCAATGCATTCCCCTCATTTCTGGACCTTTTTTGATAATTATATCGCGTGAATATTATGTTACCAAAGGAGTTTTAATCGTATAAGGAAAGAAAATTTCGCATCGGAAAGACTACCATGCGACCGCATGGTTTTAATCTGTGTGGCCGCATGGTTATTCCATGTTTTATCAAAAATTCCCTGCATTCAGTCGTGCAGCCGCACGAGAGTTCTACCATGCGGCCGCATGGTAGACTCCAACTTCTATTCTCTTCAATTTAGTCCCTTTACTTGAATCTTTTACTTTTAGGCCTCTTTTCTTCATTCTTTCCATTCCATCATCCCAAGGTATCATCAATTGGCATTTGGTTCAATCAATTCCTTGATTTGTTCATCGGGTCAACTTTTGAGTAATTGCACCTTGGTCCTTGAACTTTCACTTTGTGTCATTTTAGGCATTTTTCGCTTCTTTTCTCATGAATTTCACCATGTTCATCGGTGTTCCCTACAATTCACAAATGTAACGAAATTAAGTCACAATTCAATCATTTTACTCATAATTAAGTCATGTTTGTGACCTAAATAAGTGTGCAAAAACACACTTATCACATACAAATTATAGAAAACTGGCCGAGAAGAAATTAATCGAAGTCATTTGGGCTTGTGTTGAGGACTCCGAACAAATAGAAAACTACCAAGAAGAAAGTACCTAAGTGATGTGGTGCCATCATATTCAGTACCGAGAAAGAATCAAAAATCAAAAGGGAGAAAATGTTCTAAATGATCTACTTTGGTGGTCTACAAAGCACATGGAATCATTAATCAATTTCCACTAAAGAAACGTGATTGCAAGAAAGAGAGGGGAAATTATTCTTACCGAACCTTCGATGTTCTTCGATCTGCGATTTGGAAGGCAAAGTGAACCATAGGCAATGTCTTCAATGTGCTGTTAAAGGAATGGAGAGAAAGGAAAGAGACAAGTTGTTTTGAAAGGAGTCAATCCGTTTCCCATGTTTTCATTATTTGGCTACGAAACACTCAAAATGGGTAAAATATTTGAATGGAAGTTATGAATTGATTAATTTTCATTAGTGTGGGGGTTTAAATTGTAAACTATAAAGAGGGAGGACACAACATGAAAATCACAATTTTGATATACAATTAGAAACACAACTTGAGATGACTTAATCAAAAATATTCTCTTCAAATTTATACTATACTATTTTGACAACTCGATGAGAGACTCGTTCACTTATCTCTCTATGGTCATGCCCGTAAAAGGAGGGCCACATGAGTTTTATCTTGGAGCCGTGTAGTGCTGAAAGAACCCGCACAAAGGGAAGGCAACACGATCTTAGGACAGCGTTTTCGACGTGACTCCCAAGGCTTGCTTTCTAAACCTCTTCTCTATTTTATGTTTATAATATTATTGAATTATATTTGTTGTGTTATATAAATTAATTATGCTAATAGATATATTTATCTACACACAGATCACTAATTTTCCCAACACTAATATCGATGCTTAACAAGATAGATGGTTCGTCCACATAAAATGAAAATTACCACAACATGGAGTCTTTCTTTTTGCAAAGATTGCACCTAGGAGCTTTAAGAGCAAAATTGCAATTAGTACCCGTCTCACCGAAGTGCTATAGAATTGCTGGTGTTGAATGCACAAGAACATTGGGCTCGGCATACTGAAAATCTTTTAAGCCAACAACTGACTGCAAAATTGGAACTACTAGAATCAATGAAATGTTAGCTTAAAACTAGGCTGAAATTTGTATGGCAAGATGAACCGTTATGGAATGAATGGATGGTAGTCGACAATATTAAAGAAGAAAAAGAAATTTAAATCTTGTTCATTTTATTGTCTAGTCTTGTTCAATACTGTCCAATATAGCGTATTAAACATGAACTCCATTTGAAGTTGCTCGATACAAGAATATGCGTCAACATCGAAAACTCAAAGAAAATAAAGGTTTTGGATTTCCCTGAACAGGAAAGAAACATGTGTGCTGAGAATAATTATAGAACCGTGTTTTAAGATGAGCAATCCTAGTGCATAAGTAACAGAAAAAAAGGAAACAATGCACATTGTAGAACAATAAAAAAGTAAAACAAAATTTTCTTAACATATTAAAAGTCAAATATGAGATATAAAATGAGAAGCCCTACTTGTAGATCCATTTGACACTATAAGTTTGCAAAATTTCAATATAGACAAATCTTGTATGAAACTTTAGTGTCCTATGTATCATTTTTTTTTTTTACTTATGTTAGTCTTCTAGTGAGTTTCCTTTACACGTATCATGTTGAATTCACGCCTTCAACTTCTTACGTAATTACACACGATCGCACATATAAGTGTGTGTATACATATTAATCAAACCACCATACACTGATGCATCCAGTATCCATAGAGTAAATGAATATAACTTGTGCTGTGACTGCAAAAAAAAAAAAAAATGATTTGCAGTCTACATGCCTGAGCAACATACATAGAGAACAGCTCTATTTTTGTGATTCCAACTTATAAACAGTCGATCTATCATGGCTTCCATCATTTCTAGAACTGAAACTGACACTATCTCCATCTGGCAAGAAAAATTGAGTATCAGAAAATGCCCTACATAAAGAATTAGACCAGTAACTTTAAGTACAAAATAACAAATTCAATTCCATCAGCAAAACAGAAATTGAGAGAGAGCATACATAAATTGGTACTCGTGTACAAAGAAAATGATGTTTTCACATCTGCATGTTACTTCTCAAAATAAACTCCTGGCCTACTTGGCAATCCTTACTTCTTGATGGGTTCAGGTCTAGAATGTATAAGGGTGGTTTATGGATGAGTTTCTTTCAGTATGAACTTGTTTAAATTGATGTCACTTGGCATATCCAATTTATTGGTAACAAAATAAAGGGTAACATACCAGTGCAAGCATATTAATTTTTCGCATTTATTTGAAGTTGTAGCAGTGTACGAAAAATGTAACAGATCCATCATATTTTGACTTTTAAAACTAGTTTAGTTCATTTTCACCTCTTGTTTTGGTTTGAACTTACCCCGCTTTAATGCTAGTAAAGAAAAGTAGCTTTTGAAAAAAATTCAAGTGAATATGAATGTCTTGAATTCATTAAATTGAAACCAGAGTCAAATCGACAGATAACATCTTCTCCACTCATCCGAGAAGCCCACCAGTCCTATGACTTACAAAATGTTTTGCTCAATTATCTCCAATTAATTTAAGTCATCCAAGTATCTTTCCAATCTTAGGTGTAATCATCGCTATCTTCATCCTTGAGGAGTCTTCTGACATATAGTTCTTCATCAATAAAGGCAGGTTTGAGAGCCTAAAAAATATGCCAAATCAGAATGCAATAGAAATTTTACATAATCAAACATATCTCTTTTGAAATATTCATCCACAGAGCATATTTTATACTTTCACAATGAATATCAGTCATTTCTCTGCTTTGATCAGTTGCCTAGGAAAATTGTTCCATTCAGAGAGAAATTGTACAGTTTAGATTTTACCTGAGAGAATCTTACAAGAGGGAGTTGAAAGGATGTCTAGACACCGCAAGTTCTTGCGTGTTTCAGCTAAATTATTAGCTGGAATTAAAATAGTAAGACTCGGCTAAATTATTATCTCCAATTGGTTGATTTAATTGACTGATATTTACTTTAATGCAACCATTCACCAGCCCGTTCATCCTAGAGTAACGATAGAAAAGAAAAAGAGTAACCTTGCTTGTGTATCTTGACAGTGACCAAACAAGCATCTATATCTCAGTTCATTGTTGCAATCTATGATAATTGAAAGCTCCAAATTCTTACATACTGGTTGATGATTATTTAGATTCATAGATATCCAATTGACTAACCTGACCAGATTAGCAAGTCCTCAATCGGTTTCTATGGAGGCTAACAGCCCAATTTCTATTATCGAACTTCCAATTCAAAGATGCAAGAATGTCAGCTCTGTCTTCAGATTCCACAGCCACTAAATCATCCTTAAAGCTACATGACCTAGTGTATGTGATCATTCCTTCAACCTCAACTCTCTATTTCAATGAAGTCAGCCTTTCATCTATGCATATGGCTTTGATCCAGTAGTTAACAAATAAGCATGATGATATTCTTTCTTTATAGTGATTTCTTCTCCCAGATTCATCAGCATCTCTTCCCACACAGAAAATCTGTGTTGCATGAACACTTCAACTATGGTAGCATGTCTGTGTCAAACACATGTTGAACACCGTCACTCTACCAAAGTCATTTTTTCTTTAAAAAATATTATATATTTTCAACTTAAAGTTATTAGTTAATAATAAAAAGGTAAAAATATTTCAACAAGAAAAATTAATAACACGTATAAAACTAAATTTAAATTATATAAAATGAAGAATTTTATCAACGTGTCATGTTGGCAATGGGTATTTTGCAAGGAAAATATGATCCCATCACTTCAAGGATAGATGAAGGATGCGAACAGCCAACTACTACTCTGTTTTCTAATTCCAAATGGCCTCACAAATTAACTACCTAGTAAAAGAACTAAAAGAAGAAACACACACCTTTTCAAGCACTTGGCGAAACAAACTGGATGAACCGAGGATGAATTTTCTGACATTCCCCAATCCACTCGGGCATCAGACCTTTCAGAATACTCCGCCTGGTAGAACAAAAGGCCGGTAATGTAAGTTATAGTCGAAACTGATATACTACAGGAGGTTAGACAGATGAAGAATGGTAATAAAATATTTGCTCACTTGGAAGTAACCATCGTCGAAAAGAATATCATCATCAGAGTCGGTCTCCAAAATTCTGTCGTCAAAAAAGTCTATCCTTCTTTTCTTGTATTGCAAAAGATCCATCGCAATCAGAACATTCTAATGACATGCAAGTGATACCAATTGTCAACCACACATTTCATATAGAACTGAATAGTTCGAAGAAGACAAAATGATATCCACAGTATCAAATTTAATATAAATTTGGTATCAAGAGGCAAGTGAAACAACATTCTACATGATCTTTAGTTTACTCGTTTGCAGTAGATCTGCAAAGGTGGTTTATATGTATAGATGAACAACAAAAACACAGTAATGGTTTGCCTTGTCTGGATAACTATAGTTCTACACAACATTTGATAGAAAAATCCTCTCCTGTTTCCTCAAGTATTAAGTTATGTGACAACTTAGAATTGGACAAATTGTTGTCAAACGATCTTCCAAGCTCTGATGTTAATTTGGTTTAATTCTTAGTCGGCTCGACCAAATGACTGAATGGTAAATTTAGCACCACAATCGAAATGACCCAACCCGAAGGTTAATTGGGCCATTTGAAGCAACCTAAATCTCCTAGTGTTGCTCATGGCCCAACCCACTTGCTTGGATGGCCAAATTAGAGATAGCGCACTTGGTAGCCCATTTGTCTAGTGTTGGCCCTTACTTGATCCATTATTTACCCTAATACTATTTACCCTATGTGGCCACATTACTTGATTAAATTGGGTCTTCTCTCCTTCTCTCGGTCCCAACTTGCGTGCGCCTCTTTGTGAGAAAAACCGACTCTTCCTCTCTGCCAGTTTTTTGCTTCTCGTTACTTCTGCCTTTGTGGTGAATGTCTTTGTGTTATTGCCTACCTTTGTGGTCTCCTAAGTGGCTATCTCTTGGCAACCGTGAGTGAGAAGAGTTTTGGAATTGTTTTGGGTTGTTTTGGTTGTGGTATTGATAGAACGAAGAAACTGAGCCTGGATAAACGATTTCGGTGATCGATTATTACTTCACACTTTGTATCAACATTAGCAGCATAACATATACTTGTATTAAACCTTTAAAGTTCCCCTGTAGAATACAATAAACATGCAAGAAATGAGATAAGGATGTTAAATCAAAATTTCTATGTTCTCGAGGAAAAAGGACTCAAAATTTCAGAAATACGAAGGAAAACATCGCCTGAATCTTCCTTGTACTAAGGAAAAGTAAAGAAAAATAATGATTTTCCTCTAAGTTCCAACAAAATATTTCACAGTAGGAAAGCAACCAATATACTTTTTCAGTTAAAAGGAAATAGGTATTCATCAAGATTAATTCCTCTCCACAGGGTTACTTGCTCCTCGATCTTGCAAGATGTTTTCACCATCACAAATTTCCAATAAAATAAAAAAAAGAATCTGAAATAAATGAAAAATTACGATCAAGATTAAAACAGTGATAACTTTGTCACATGCAAATTTTTTTGAGAAATACCACTGGAGAGAGATTCCAAACCTCCAAACTCATCTATAACAAATTGAAATTCTGCCCACGAAATATGTTCATGTGGTTCACGGTGCACCATACCAGGGAATATCAACAAAGCACTACTGTTAGCCTAAGAGAAAAACAGAGTTCAGGTCATTTACCCAACAAAGGCAAAGGACAGATTTATAGTTTTCTCCCAAATGGAGCCCTAATGTGTATCGAATGATGTTCTCACAAGTCACAACTGTTTCATGATTGATAGTCCCCTCTCAATCTCCTTATTCTCTTTTAATCCCCACACTGGCAAGTGAAGGAACTTTCGAAGAAGAAATCACCATAACATGTGTAGAAACATTCCAAACCAAACCTGTGTTATATCGCTTTTCTTTTTCGTTCTTCTCTCTCCCAATATTCAAGTTCAGGCATTACATAAATATGCATACATGAATTTCGGTGACTGTTATTATATGTTCTCTCCAGCCCTACGTGGGTCCCACTTAATAGCTGAGCCGATGTGGATGTGTTAAGCCCACGCGTGCAAACCCGCCGCCCCTATATAACCGTACACATGTATAAATTGAATCCCTCAGGGAAATGAGGTGAGGTGCTTTGGCTGAACACCCTTCGAATCAAATCTACTGATATGATTGATGTTACAGCTCCCAGTCATCACAGCTAACCTATTTGGTCAAGTCAACGGTCTTAAACTACAACTTATGGAAGGGAAGTTGACATTAACATTTAATATACTGTGATTGATTGATGTCCATGATGGGAAGTTAAGTTTAAGAATATATAACCACGTGTCCTCTCATATGACGATTTATACTCCCTATCTCATGTTATAAAAACTCACAGTTAGTGTCATTGATGAGTAATGCAAGTTTAGATTTAACTTTGCTTTCTATATTTTTACTTTATATCTAGTACCGATCCCCTTTTTATATTAGAGGCTCACATTAAGAGTCTTTCCACACTCATACATTTCTTCCAAAAACTAGCTTGACCGTCGGAGTGCTCGCAACCGACTCCACCCCCACTGGAGAATGCCATGTGTGACTAACGGTTTGTCCTAGTGTGCAGGAATATGACTTATCTGAAAGTAAGAGGTCTTGGGATCTGTTGGCTACACTGGAGGTACATTTTTTGAGGTCAACAACACTTATACTAATCAAGTCTCGAAGTAGCAAAACCAGAATTCCTCTCAGGCNAAAAAAAAAAAAGAATAAAAGAAAAAAGAAAAAACACTGAAACAATGTCGTTGGCTTCCTATATTGTGAAACATTCCTTCTTTTTTAATCAAAACAAAATGTTAAGACATGCAAGATGGTTACTTTAATTAAGACTCTGATTCCATGATAGGATTGGCGGTTCCATGCTAAAAGCTCACGGTAACCCAAAGTTATTCCTTAACATAATTTAATGTGAAATTAGAAAAGGAACAAAAGGAGATGGAGATGAATGTCTGTAGATATGGGTTTCCTGTGGAGATGAAGATTTCATGGACGAACTTGAATCCAAGAAGAAGGTTTATCAACTGCTCACGACTCTAGGATGCGGGTGGATGTAATTTCTTGGACAGGTACAACCCGCCAATGTGTGAGAGATCGAAGGAGTTGATCCCTAGACATCTACGGGTTAGTATGAGATGGAAACTGAAATAAACACCCTCCGATCAAGAAGTCATAGTGCACGAAAGACTTGGCTCATTGGATTTGTGTGTGGATTTTTTGTGAAATTTGTACTTAGATTTGGGTTAGATTTGAGCTAAAATGTTGGGGCTTTAAAAATCAATAATCATGTGTCTATATGTATTTATTTAACTTGAGTCATTAAAACGGTCAAAACCAATTGAAATTTCGATTGAATTTCAGTGATCATTCATGAAATTAAATTGATAATTTAATATAGATATATAACTCCCTCGTGTCGCATTGACATGTGCATGCTCCACGTGCACCATTTGTACTTTTGAGAGCGCTTTGTTCAAAGCGAGTGGGAAAACGAAATGAAAAATTGAGCTCTCTTTTATTGGAACTTTGGAGTTGAATTTTCATTCTGAGTAGCTTAGAACGAAAAATGGATTAATGGAAATTTTATTCACCAACTAAATATGAATTTACTTATAAAATATATAGTGTATATTCTGTTTTTAATTCTCGACACTATAATGAAAATAATTTTATTTTTATATTGAACTGATTTCTAATTTATTTGCTTGAATTGTAGATTGCAATTTTGTTTTCATTTTCACATGAAAATAAATTTTTACGCAAAAATGATTTTTTATCTTATAAGTAATATTACATGTAATTTTTTAATTATAATGTAATTTTTTTGCTTATAAATAATTTTTTAGTTAATTTATTTCTATTTATATGCTAGTTTTATATAAAATATGTTGGTTGGAAATAATTTATATGTCTCGACCATCTTGTTCTTCTACTCCTTCTCATCTGCAGACTTGGGGGAGGGGTTGAAGAGGTTTACATGATTTAACATCGTATCAAGAGTTCTGTTCTAAGAATAAAATGGAACGTAATATTTACTTTTATTAACAATTTAGAAGTGTATTTTTTCAAAACAATTAAAAATTAAGCACATTATTCAATTTTGAAACTACATCGTATTGGACCTAATTTCCTCTAGTTTTGGCATGCCAAACCCGTGGAACCATGTGTAAGCCCACGAATTCAATCTAGCACCTAGCCCAGCTAGAACATCGACCCATGGAGGAGTTTAGTGGCACCGACGAACTTTGAAAATGGAATGGTGGTTTTCGGATAAAGGTTCAAGGCGACTACTTTTAATTTGTACTTAATATTAAATTTCTTTTAATTTATTCGTTTTATTCAAAGACATCTTAAAAGTACTTTATATTATCTCTCTAGCATAAAATATGATCGAGTGCAATGATTATATTTACTTAGATATTTAAATTATTCAAATATCTACAAAGGAACAAAGCACTAAATAAAGAGACATAGGCTGCTAAATATACTTTGTACTTTCTCTAGGAAGATGGGCAATAAGAGATCCAATGCAAACAAAATTACTTAGGGT